CCCGAGGGAGTGGGCGGCACAGGGCCAGGGCTGGCATAGCTCCTGGAGCCATGGACAGCAGTCTGCATAGACAGAAAGCTCAGATGGGAACTGGCCACTCCCGTGGGTGCTGGACAGCACAGACTCGGGGATCTGGGGCGGGGCAGAAGGTAGGACCTGGATGAGTGGCCACCAGTTTAGCCGGGTCAAAGAGGGACCAGGCCCAAGGCTCCTCAGGGTCTCCTTTTTTTTTTTTTTAAAGATTTTATTTATTTATTTGAGAGAGAGAGAATGAGAGACAGAGAGCACAAGAGGGAAGAGGGTCAGAGGGAGAAGCAGACTCCCTGCCGAGCAGGGAGCCTGATGCGGGACTCGATCCCGGGACTCCAGGATCATGACCTGAGCCGAAAGCAGTCGCTTAACCAACTGAGCCACCCAGGCGCCCAAGGGTCTCCTTTCTAGTCTTGAAGAGGCAGGGAGGGTCTTTTGAGAAACAGGGGGACAAGACCCCAGCCCCTCTCCTTGCAGAAACTTTGGAGCTCAGCCACTTTGCTTCCTGCAAAAGTGACATTGGACCTTGACGTAGATCCTTTGGTTCTAAGCACTCCCATGGGAGGTGGTCTTGAACTTTTGAGGGGGTTATGAAGTTGTCCTGTGATGAGGACATAACAGCCAAAGTGTCAGCCGGTTCCAGATCCTCCTGCTGGTCAGCAGAAGAGCCTAGCCTATGGGACAAAGGCTGGAGGTACCAAGGCCACCCTGCTCTGATGCTGTTACCTTGTGCTGACTGTCGGAGACCCTCCAATTCCTGCCTCTGACCCTACCATGTGACTGCCCCTCGCATGATGCCTGGCTCTCAGGAGGTGCTCAGCATGCTGGGTCTGTTCCTGGCTGGTGGCTCCTTTTGTCTCTCCTCCTGGCTCCTGGCCACCTTCCTGGTTCTGGGGCATTCTGGGCCCCTGCTTGGTTTGTCTCCCCGCCAGTCCCCCGACCCCAACTGCACTCCTGCTTTTCTCCTTGCCTTGCAGCCCTGAGCCCACCACAGCGACCCTGGGGCCTCTGGAGAGCTGAATGGGGTGGGGGTAATGGGTGTGACCTCAGGAACCGGACCATCTGGATTTCAATCCTGGCTTGATGTTGTCCTAACTTGGTGTCCCCGAGCTTCCCTTATGCCATCTGTAAGGCAGGGGTGATGGTAACAGTACACCTGAGAACAGGGTTTGGGGAAGGATTAAGTGAGTTACTGACTGAGTGCTTCGGCCAGTTCCCGGCATGCAGTGAGCACCTGAGAAATGCCCATCATTTTCAGCCCAGGCCCTTCCTCTGCTCTTCAGAGGCCACTCCAGAGTGTCCTTGCCAACTGCTCTTTTGCTCTCCTCCCGCCCCCTCTCAGGGCCCTCCCCCCACCCCAGCTCCCACGGCCTCCACTGGTAGGGCCCAGAAACTCCACCAGGTACGTGCTCAGGCCATCCCCTTGTGCACATTTCATATTAGACACGTTTGGGGGGCTGGGATGTTGTTTTCTAGGGACCCCCGATCTCCAAGGGCTAGAGATAGCGACAAAGTGATGGGTGTAGGGGACGGGGGGATGGGGTGTCATGAGTCTGACAAAGCTGTTGGACCCGAAGGAGGAATAAAACGCTGTGTGTTTGTCCAGACTCAGAGCCGTCCTTTCTTTTCCCTCTAAGGACGGAGCAAGTCAGAGCAGGTGGGAAGTGAAGGACACAGTGAGTCTGGGGCGGGGAGGGGGGGGCGCCCAGTAGAAGAGGATCAGGCTTTAAGATTTGGAGAAGCAGAAGAGGCTGAACCAGGAGCAAAGGAAGAAAGAGGCAGAGGGAGGCCACGGGGGTCCTGGGAGCTGCACTGCCCCCTCTTCTCGTGCTTGCTCTCATGGGGACATCGACGGGTTGACCTCCAGGTAGCCACCTGCCTCACCCCAGCCCACTGATTCATTCTGGAAGGTTCTTTTCTCATATCTCTTTTTGGTCTCAATACTGGGCTTGTGGGGAAAGGAAGAGTCAGGAGCTTCTGCTCTGCCCGCTGTGTCAGCCTCTCAGTGTGGGGCTATCAGGTCCTTCGAGGCACCTGAGGACCCACGCAGGAAACCCCCACCGTCCCCTTTCTCCCCCTGCCGCCATGCTGCGGGGAAGGGCATGTGGTAAGGGGGTGCATTTTAGAGGGATGAATTAGTAGATACGGTCTTGGAACTCCCTGGTGGATGGAACAGAATGAAAACACAGCAGACACTGTGGAATAGAATACAATTCAACATTACATCCGTTCCTTTGGGACTCAGATGAAATCAGAGTCTCCCAAACAGAACAGCTACGGGCGGGGTGGGGGGGCAGTTTACAGTCCAGTTCACCAAACACGTGGATGCTGGTCCTGTCATCCGATCCATGGGCGCCAAAGGAGTTGTGGTGGTGATGCTTCTTTTCCCCAGAAATGTGGCATCTGATCTGGGCTGCATTTACAGAGCAGGTGCATTCATACCCCAGGCTCCCGTGCGGCGATGGTCTTTGGCAAAAGCCCCTCCGCGTGATGCTGACCTGTTCCTTGGTCCACACTCATATGGGGGATCCCGGTGGGGATGGATGAGGCTTGGAGAGCTTTCCGAAATCATTATTCCTCCTGAGACACTAGCTGAGGGGGGCGGGGCATGTGGGCAAGTATTGCTGGAAATTGCAAGGTGAGTCCAGACCTTGGGTACCTTCTAGAGTCACGGCTGTCCCCAGACTTCCTTCCAGTGAGACATCACAACTGTGCCCAGACCACAAGCTTGTGAGTGGATGACATGAGACCCAGGAGGCATGGGGAAGTTCCCAGGCAGCTCGCTGGGAGTCTACCCCATTTGCTCCCATCTCAGAAAGCATCAGGAATATAAGAGTGATATTATAGGGCCAATATTGAATCTGCGTTCATGTCAGAGAAAGGGAAATGATCTATAAGCCCAGCCACTCGACGCATTAGAACCATAATTAGTGATAAAGACCTTGCAACCCACCCCCCACCCCAGCCAACCAGATTGGTCTTGACCACCTTTGTGCAGGGGACAGGTTAGCTAGAAGACCCGGCCACGCTGTCTGGATGAGAGACATGGTCATTTTGGGTGAAGCCCAAAGGCCACAGGCTCCCCCAAACTCTGGCTTCTTAGAGGGGGTGGGGCATGGGGTGTCCCCCGTCATAGGTACCTGCCTCCACGGAATTTCCCATGATGCAGAGGGAACTAGGTGAGGTTCTAACTCAGCATAGGGAACCACCAGGAAGGATAGAGATACCTGGCGGCTTATTAGAGAGAGAGAGAGAGATTGCCATGGTGATAGGGGAGGCGGGCCCAGAAGCCCCAGGGAAACCAACGGTGATTCTAGTGCAGGATGCCCTCCCTTCACACCTTATTATCAAACGCACTCCACTGGCCCTCTGGCCTGGCCTAGGGCAGCCTCCGGGTCTGTCACCCAAGAGCCTCTGGTTGCTACCAGAAGCCCCAGGTTCTGGGAACACTTGCCCCATGGGTGCTCTCTGCTTGGTGGGTCCCCTGAAACCTCCCTTCCAGTCCGTGACCTCAGTGTGGCCCCCGGAGAGGTGGCACTCTGGCAGGTGGGAAGCAAGAAAGAGAGGGGAAGGTGCTGTGCAGTTTCCTAATTGTGTTACGCCCCCCACTCCTGCCACCCAACTTCTATTTCCTGCTACCCAAAATGCCTTCCACCCCTACCCCCTTTGCTAGCTCTTATCTTTCCTTTTGTTCTCTGTTCGGAGGACACGGTCTCTGGCAACCTCTCTGTCCCCTCCGCAGTCTGGGGTGAGATGCCCCCTCCGTGTTCCTACACCTGCCGCATTTCCCCCATAAAGTGCTCAGCACAGGTGGTCCAGTGGCCCCACGGCCTGGCTGTATCTCTCGCTTTGGAAAGAAGATGAGAGCACAGACCTTGTCTGGCCTGTTCCCATCCCAGGGCCTGGCCCAGAGTTGGGCACCCAATAAATGTTTGCTTGTTTGGCAGGTAGGGAGAGGGAAAGCAGATAGGATTTTCTAAAACAAATCCTATCACTGGAAACCCACAGACCATTCAAACATGGCATGCGATCTTGGTTTTGGTTCTCCATGGAGGTGAAGGAGAGAACAATCTTACAGAATCCCTCTGCAGGTCTCCGTCTTGCTGTTCTAGAATTGGGGGTAGAGGCGCAGGTAGGGGGAAGGAGGAAGTTAGGGCAACATGCACTTGTCCATGCTAATTGTCAAGTTCAGAGGGGAGAACAGTCAACGAGAAGGTGTTAGAAGGTCAAACTGTGGCACCCCCAGTCCACCCCCATGGTCTCTGGTGTAAATACTGTGTAGCTGGGAGTTATACTTCCTCAGCTGGCTGACTCCCAGAGCCTTCTCCAGAGGGGAATGGGCCTTCTTGGAAAGTGTTTCTCCCTGGACACCCTCCACTGTTCACTCTTTGGAATGTTTCACTCTTGTGACTTGTCACTTGAGATGCAAATCAGTATCTGGCCCAGAGAGTGAGCCAGGTTGGCAAACCCAGGGAGCCAGAAGTCAGTCTTCCCTCTCTTCTGTGAAGGGCCTCCATGGGTCAGTTTGGGTTCTAGAAGGATGAAAACGGGGAGTCCAGCTCGGGCACTCTGATGTGTGTAAACATGAGGTTCTCCTTGGGGCTCAGCCTCGCCCAAGGAATTTCCTAGCATGCATAGCGCTTAGCAGAGAGAGTTCGATGAGTGGCACCTGGATGCAGGAGTGGGGAATGAGCCATGGAAGGGGATGGCTATGGCCAGCATTAAGGGATGCATAACAATATCAGAAAGACGAAATGAGATCCAGCCAGCAGTGTTCCCCAGCTTCATGTGGAGCCCTGAGCTCTCTCCCACAGGGCCAGGAAGAGGCTTTGCCTGGCGGTCTTATGGCTAAACCCCCTCCACCACCACCACCACCACCACCACCAAGAAGATGGGGATGTTGGGTGTTGTCAGATCTCCTCCTGGTCGAGGCAGCAGGGTGACAGGGAGAGCAGAAGGCGAGGCCACCATCAGCGATTCAGGAAGAAGGACTTGAGAGTCTGGAAGAAAACTGACTTCTGTTTCTGCTTCTGTTTCTTTTTGATGATGGGCACCCACACCAGCCCGCACACCAGCATCATGAGTCCCAGGGACAGGAAGGCAGGCCCTGTCATCTTAAGGACCTTAAGGCTGTTGTCACCCAGCTTCAGGGTGTAGGCCAAGCAGGTGATGACCACGCCGAAGAGGAGGATGGCGCCTCCCACCGACATGATAATGATGGGTTTGCGGTAGATTTCCCATTTACTCCGGGGGGTGGCGGTCCAGACGGACTCACTTCTGGAGCTGATGCACAGGGAGCTGGCCGTCTGGCTGGGCAGCAGGTCTTTGAATTCTGGAGACTTCTCATCGACCTCCAGGGCCTTGGGGAGAGCCTCCATCGTCATGGGTCCTCGGGACTGGGCACCTGGTATCCGCAACAGTAAGAAGCAAGGGAGAAGCCAGAGGAATCCTTGCACACCCTTCCTGTTCTCAGCATCCGTCTCTGGCCTGGCTCTCAGCAGAAGGCGATACTGGGTTTTGTGCTGAAGCCAAACAGAAAGTCAGAGGAGATCCACATAAATAAGAAACCACTCACTGGCATGTTTTGTTTTGCTTTTTTCTTGTGGGAGATAAATATGATAGCATTCGAATCAACTGCTTTTAGTATTTAAAACAGGGAACAGTGGTACCCCTTAAAAATAAAAAAGCAAAAGCCATGGTTAATCGAATGACATCTTATTTTCAGACTCAACTACTTTCTAGCTGTGTGACCTTGAGTAAGTTACTTAACGTCTCTGTGCCTCAGCTTTCTCATCTATAAAATGGGGATAACAATACTATTCATCTCATAGGGTTCTCCAAAGGATTAAATGAGTTAAGACGTGTAATGCACTGGAACACTGCGTCGCATGTTGCAAGCACTTCATAAATGCAATCGTTGGCCGAGCACAGGGTGAGGAACTGCCCGAGGTTGGATTTGAACCTGTTCTGTTCTTGCTCTCGCTCTTATGGTCTGGAGAACATCTTTCAGTGCAGCCCAGGATTTTATGTGCTTTTCCAGCACAGGACAGTCATGCCCCAGGTTCAGAGTGTGACCTTTTAATATCTAAATGCCCCCTTTCCCCGCCCTCCTCGGGAATGACGTCAAGTCATTCTCAGGCCTGTAAAGGTATGGAGTCTAGCCAGCCACCTGCTCTGATTTCTCATCCAGAGCCCGCCCGTGTACCTCTCAGTCACCAGAGCCCTCTTCTCCCCTGGCACTTTCTGTGTGTGGGAGAAAGGCAAGGCTTGAGAGAGCCCCGTATGCTTCCTGGGGGTCCTCACCGACTCCCCGCCCTGATGCATCATCCTTGACTTGTCTCCAGAGGGTCTGGCGTGGCGTACCCTAGAGATGCTGCATCCCATTCAGTGAGCGAGCGAGTGAATGAACAACGGACCATCCTTTCTGCTTCCTCCCTCCCGATGGTCCTGAGCATAAGTCCAGCTTTCTTTACAACACTGCTTGGATCAGTTCTTCCTGGCAGAGCCCAGTGCCTCCCTGCATTAAGCTCAGGCAGAGCTGAGCTCTGGGACCCTGTTGGCCACTCTCTTCTCCTGTGTCCCCAGGTCACAGACTCTCCCACTGTTCTCTGCAGGGCCCCTGCCTGCCTTTCCCGGGGTGACTCTCCGGTCTCTGCTCTGTCTCCCTCCTCCGATGAACTGCCTTTGGTCCTTGGCCCCTGCTCCTTCCCTCCTCCATCCCTGCAGCAGCTCAGGCCTGAACCACCTCCCCCACCCATAATGCTCCCCCTTTCTAGAACAAGCAGTTACAGACCCGTCCCCTTTGACATGGAGGAAATCGGAATGATAACATTGCCATGCCTTCAGAAGGTAGATATTCACGTTCCTGGACGCTCATCTAGAGAGAGGATATTTGGGTCTCTGCTTCCAAAGACTGAAAAACGGGAAATGTGCTCTTGTAAGTACAGGGACACAGGTGTTCCCTGCTGCCACTTGGATCCTGTGGCCCATTTGCATAAGCCAAGCAGCCCTTTGTAAAGTGATCTCCCCTTCGCCCCCAACCCCAATGAGCTAGGGGTAAGGAAGGGATCACAGAGCAGGGCTATGAGGTCCTGGGCCAGGGGTGGACTTATGTTGGTTTTTGCCACCTGGTTTCTTCTGTGGATGTTTTGACATCTCCAGTAGGATTTTTCTCTCTGGGTAGCACTTTCTACCACTTGGCAGTGGAGACCCAGGGCAGAAGGGCTTGCTGCCTTCGGATGCTGGAGAGGTTGGGGGAGAGACGTAGGAATGCAGAGATTCTCCGTTGCACCGGAGTCGAGCTGGGTTGGATGGAGAAGGACCCGCTCCTGTGAGAGCTGCCACCTGGGTGGAACGTGGCCACAGCCTCCTGCACGGGAAATACGCTGCTGGAGGCGGGGACCACGGCCAGGGGTCCCGGAGAGGGAGGTGGGACTCCCGGGGGCCTTGCTGGAAGCACGGAACGCATGCTCTTTGGCCCTGCAGGGAGGCCATTTGTTTATTCCCATTTTGTAAGGGCAGAGACAGGCCCGGTGAGATTTAGGAGCACGGCCAAAGCCTTCCCTAACCTCCTATGCAGCTGTGCTGGGATTCACACCAAGGTCTCTGGACTTAAAAGCTCCTCGCACTAGATCGTCCTGGTCTGAATGAGTCCTGCGGTCCCTTCAACTATGAGAATGTCTGAGTTTTTCACTCTGGGGCTTCATCTGCCCATCAGGTAACCTCTCACTGTATAGAGAATGATGTAGATAGATAAGTGGTTCTATAGTGATTCACTACACAATAGAGAAATAAGAGCACGGCGGTAAATTTTTCATAGTTTTACCTTTACTCAATTTAAAGGATAATTTCATTCTGAGATTCTGTCCTTCTTTCCTTTTTTTTTTTTTTTTTGGTTTTGGAATATTCCTCATTTTATGAAATGACCATGATGGAAAGAGGATCATTGGTTTTGTTAGTATCTGTCCTTGGCAAGATAGAAGTTGGTCATCTCATGTAGATGTCTGTCTATCTATCTATCTATCTATCTATCTATCTATCTATCTATCTATCTATCTTTCCATCTATCATCTATCTACCAAAACTGTAATGGCCCACGAAATCTCAAAGAATGGGAATCTTTAATTTAGTTGACTTACTTAGGAGGAGGTGTGAGTCTTGGTACAGTGATGGGACAGGCAGGGCTTCTGAGCAAAACCACTCCTTTGTGATTCCAGCAAGTCAGGGAGCTTATTCCCGGTGTCTGTGTGTGATGAAGGGAAGATCCAGATCCCTGACATCAGAAGGACGACCACCTGAAGCAGTTTACTAAGCTGTGGGACCCTGGGCTGCTTACTTAGCCCCCCGAGACTTACTAGCCCCATATCTAAAATAGGAGACTAGAACATCTGCCCCTTGGGCTGTGGGTGGGACATATGAGAGGTGTTCCAGACAGGGCCATGATAATTATTATTATTATTATTTTAGTCCCCGTTTTCATCTGTAACATGAATAAGTTGGGGTAAGGGGCTTCTAAAGCCATCTTGGATCAGTCCACTGGTGATGACTCAGACTTGAATTCCGAGACTCCGGGCTTCCTGAAAACCCCCAACTCAGGGGTGATACGCATTTCATAACACTTTATTAGAGTCCTAAAACATTCTCTACTTTTTTCCGATATCAGGGTTTCTCAAGAGCGGTACTATTGACATTTGGGGCTGGAAAATTCTGTTATAGGGAGGTTACCCTGTACATTGTAGGATGTTTCCTTAATGGCCCTGACCTTTACCCACCAGAGGCCAGTGTACCACCACCACCTCTGGTCATGATAATCAAAAATGTCTCCGGCAATTGCCAGATGTCCCCTGTGTGTGGTGGGGGAGGGGGAAATCGATCTGGTGTCCACCACAACCCCACGCCGGCTTTTCCCTCCCTCCTAGCTTGCAAACTGCCTGAGGTCCAAGGCTGAGCTGACTCATCCTCCACAGCCCCCCCCCCCCCCCCGCCTCCCCGGCCCTTAGCAGGTGCTCCCAGGGCCTGGCCCCAGGGCTGCAGTTCGGTGAGGGACCAGGGGACACGTGGAGAGCCGGCCCAGTGAGAGCAACCATATTTTCAGGTTTGGGTTAAGTTCTCGGGGGATCGGTTTGTATGTCTCAGAGGATCCCTCATTCCCTGCAGTGGGTTGACTGGTCCACCCAGAATCTCAGAATGTGACCTTATTTGGATTAGAGGTCTTTGCAAGTATTATAATGAAGGCAGGGGTCTCCAGACGAGGTCATCCTCAAAGAGACCGGTCCAATGACTATGTCCTTATAAGAGAAAGGAGAGGAAAATTTGACATACAGAGGGGAAACCCTGGCAAAAACGCAGGCAGAGCCTCCAGAAGGAACCAGCTCTAAGAACTCCTTGATTTTGGGCTCTGACCTCCCAAACCCTGGGAAAATAAACTTCCTTTGTTTTCCGCGACTGAGTTTGTGGTAATTTGTTACAGCATCCCTAAAAAATGAATACACCCGCCTTTCTTTAATGTCCTTGACACCTTAGTGGTGGACAAGTACTGAGGCCCGGAGGCTGGGCCTGTGGAAGAGACTGGAAGGGAGGAAGGAAGGAACGAACGAAGTCCGGAAGTCGGGCCTCCTGGACTCCCCACAGATTTGAATATGGGCTCAGCCCTCAGGGCAGCCATTTGAGAAGAGAGGATGGGTCCCTCCCCGCCAGAGGTCACGTTTGGAGTGTCAGGAGACAGACTTAGTGGATGGAGACTGTAGCACATGGCTGGGATTGGGCAGGCAACAGGCTCGCACCAAGATGGCGCACCGGTCTGGGACCACACAGCCACGAGAAGGAAAGAGGGACAACCCCAAGCCTGCACGTGCACTGGTCTCCAAACATGACACCCACCAAGAGCAGCCAGGCACACTTACTTCCATTTACATAAAACCCCCATTTACATAAAATGAGATTCCGTTTACATCAAATTTAAAAATCTGTGCTATTCGCAGTGAGGATAGTGGTTACCTTTGGTGGGGGTGGTGGATGGGGAACACGCTGGAAACTTCTGGGGTGCTCTAGCGTTTCTGCTTCTTGATCTGGCTACAGCTGGTTACATGGGTGTGTCCTATTCATCCCAGATACTCGCGATACGACTACCTTTTTGTGTGGAGGTTAAACAGCAATAAAATGTTGAAACAAAGATAATTAAAAGGTCTAAATGCAATATGTTCCCTTTTTTTGGATTCTGACTGGAACAGAACAATTGTACAAAGACATTTGGGGATAGTTTTAAGGAAGGCTAAATTTGGATTGGGCATTAGATGCCACCAAGAATTTAAAATTTGTATTTGGGGGCGCCTGGGTGGCTCAGTTGGTTAAGCGGCTGCCTTCGGCTCAGGTCATGATCCTGGGG